GGGAGGTGTTGGGGTGGAGGGTGGGGAGGTGTTGGAGGAGGGTGGGGAAGGGAGGGGGTTGAAGTGGAGGTGGGGGAAGGTTTGCGTGAGGGTGGTGGAGGGTATTGGGGAGGTCTGGGAAGGTGTTGGGGTGAGAGGGGAAGGAGGGGAAGGTGTTGGGGTGAGGTGGAAAGGGAGGAAGGTGTTGGGGTGAGGTGGGGGAAGGTGTTATGGAATGGGAAGGTGTTGGGGTGGGGGTGGGGAAGGTGTTGGGGTGAAAGCGATAATGGGAAGTTAGAGAGGTTGAGGAAGATGTTGAGGGAGGGTTGGGGAAGGTGTTGGGGTAGTTGTCGGTGAGGGTGGTGAAGGAGGGCTGTGAGTGGGGAGGGGTATGGGGTGAAGGTGGAAAAGGTGTTGGAGAGGTTGGAAGGTGTTAATGGTGGGTTGAGAATGGGGTGAGGTCTGGGGAAGGTGTCGGTAAGGGGTAGTAAGGAGGGGAAGGTTGCAGGGAGGGGTGGGGAAGGTGTTGGGGTGAAGGTGGGGGAAAGTTGGGGTGGAGGGTGAAGGAGTGTTGATGAGGTTGAGGAAGGTGTTGGGGTGAGGTAGGTGGAGGGTGGTGGGGGGAGGTCTGGGAAGGTTGGGGTGAGGGTGGGGGGAAGGGAGGGGAAGGTGTTGAAGGGGGGTGCGTTGGGGTGAAGGTGGGGAAGGGAGGGGAAGGTGTTGGGGTGAGGGTGGGGGAAGGTGTGTTAAAGGGAAGGTGGGGAAGGTGTTGGGGTGAGGTGGGGAAGGTGTTGGGGTGAGGGTGAGGTTGCAAGATGAGGGAAGGTGTTGGGGCAGGGTGGGAAGTGTTAGGGAGGGGAGGAAGGAGGGGGAAGGTGTTGGGGTGAGGGTGGGGAAGGTGTGTGAGGAGGAGAAGGTGCTAAAGTGAGGGGGTAAGGTGTTGGGGTAAGAGTGTTAGGGGTGAGGTGGGGAGAACGTGTTGGGGTGAGGGTGGAAGGTGTTGGGGTGAGGGAGGGGAAGTTGGGGGAGGGGAAGGTGTTGGGTGAGGGTGGGGGTGTTGGGGTGGAGGGTGATGGGGTGTTGGGGTGAGGGTGGGGAAGGGGGTGAGGGTGGGTGAAGGTGTTGAGGAGGTGGGGAGAAGGTGTTGGGGTGAGGGTGGGGGTGTTAAAGAGGGCGGGGAAGGTGTTGGGGTGGAGGGTGGGGATGTGTTAAAGGAGGTGATAGGTGTAAGGAGGGTGGGAAGTGTGTTGGGGTGAAGGGAAAGGTGTTGGGGTGAGGGGTGGGAAGGTGCTAGGGTGGGAGGTAGAAGGTGTTGGGAGGGTGGGGAAGGTGTTGGGGTGAGGACGGGAAGGTGTTGGTGAGGGTGGGGAAGGTTAGGGTGAGGTTGGGGTAAAAGGAGGGTGAGAATAGGGGAAGTGGTGGTGCTGGGGTGGAGGGGGAAGGTGTTGGGGTGAGGGCAACAAAGAGGTGTGAAGGTAGGTGGGGAGAAGGTGTTGGAGTGAGGGTGGGAAGGTGTTGGGGTGATAAGGGGTTGCGTTGGGGTGAGGGTGGGAAGTGTTGGGGTGAGAGGAAGGTTAAAGGAGGGAGGAGAAGGTGTTGGGGTGGGGAAGGAAAGGTGTTGGGGTGCGGGTGGGGAAGGTGTTGGGGAGGTGGAAGGTGCTGAAGAGGGTGGGGGAAGGTGTTGGGGGAGGGTGGGGGTTGGGGGGGGAGGGGAAGGTGTTGGGGTGAGGTGATGGTGGTTGGGGTGGAGGTGGGGAAGGTGTTGGGGTGAGGGGGGAAGGTACAAGGAGGGTGGGAAGGTGTTAAAGAGGGTGAGAATAGTGAGGGTGGGGGGTGTTGGGGTGAGGGGTGGGGGTGTGTTAAAGGGAGGGTGATAGTGTGTGGGGTGAGGGGGGAATAAGGCTAAAGAGGGTGAGGGCGTTGGGTATGGTTGGGTGTGAGGGTGGGGTGTTAAAGAGGTTGGGGAAGGTGTTAAAGGAGGGTAAGGTGTTGAAGAGGAGAAGGAAAGTTGGGGTGAGGGTGGGAGAAGGTGTTAGTGAGGAGTGATGGTGTTGGGGTGAGGGTGGGGAAGGTGTTGGGGTGGTGGGTAAGGTGTTGGGTTGAAGGTGGGGAAGGAATGATAGGAGGGTGGGGAATGTGTTGGGGTGAGGTGGAGGAAGGTGAAGGGAGGGTGGGGGAAGGTGTTGGGGTGAGGGTGGAGGGAAGGTTAGTGAGGGCGGGGAAGTGTGTTGGGGTGAGGTTGGGGTGGGTGTTGTGTGAGGGAAGGTATTAGGGTGAGGGTGGGGAAGAGGTTGGGTGAGGTGGGGAAGGTACTGGTGGAGGGTGGGGGAAGGTGTTGGGGTGAGGGAGGTGTTAGGAGGGTGGGGAAGGTGTTGGGGTGAGGGGTGGGGGGTGAATAGTGAGGTGAAAGGTGTAAAGGAGGGGGAAGGTGTTGGGGGGGAGGGGGAAGGTGTTGGGGGTGGAGGGTTGGGAAGGTGTTGGTGAGGGTGGGGAAGGTGTTAGTGAGGGTAAAGGTGTTGGGGTGAGGGTTGGAAGGTGTTGGGTGAGGGGGGGAAGGTGTTAGGATGAGGGTGGGGAAAGATGTTGGGGAAGGTGTTGCGGTGAGGGTGGAGGTCTGCAATGTACAGAGGTGGCAAGGGAGGTAACTGGGCTGGGAATGGCTGTGCATTATTTACAAGCCGATGATCTTAAACGAGGCTACAGAGATCTCCTGAGACCTGCAGTTACATTTTTATCTCCCTATTCTTTTTAACTTTGTGCTACTGCTCACAGGATGAGTATGGGGTGCACAATAGACTAGCTTATTGTATCCACCTTTTCGCATTTAGCAGCTAAGCCAATTCTCATGTAAAGAATTAAACACAAATGTACTTGATTGCCCCTCACGCAGATGTGAATAATACTTATTGTGCGCAGGCATATTACATCGCACTGCTGTACTCACGCATTTAGACCAAGTAAACCCTATGTACAGAACTAAATAAACAATGTATTTGAAATGCTGTAATACTGTTTGACTGACGTAGAGACAGACCCTAGCCTGCCGACGAGAAGAGAGGGAGGAGGTTATTCTTGTATTCCAGAGGACAATGAACATCCATATTCAGCCCAACATGACTAGTGTTCTTTCCACACACACACATGCCACCGTATGCATGTTAGCCATTAGCGCCACTAATTCTAAGATGCAGCTCGACAACTTAAATAATCTAGACAAATATTTAATGCACATACAGTATGCATACCATTACTAATCGTTTATAGTGAAATGAACAGCATTTTACTTATTCCAATACATATTATATGGGTGGGAGGCATACCCCTGCGGCGGGGGGCACTCAGTCTGACCCATCTAAGATCTGAGGAAGAGATCTCCTGCTGCCGTACGAGAGTACACCCACCGTTACCTGCTACTGTTCCTCCTGTATCTTACTCTCCCGCCCAGTTATTGTTGTTTTGATCATACTGTAGAGCCTAAAATTAAATACAAATTGTAGTTATGTGATATGTTTGACGGCGCATATGTAAGGAGAAGAATGAGAGGGAGTGTATAGTTAATGAAGTATGTATGGAATGTATAGAGACGTATGTGTGGATTAATAAAAACCCACATATACTCTATCTGTTCGATGACATATGAGACGCGAAGGAGTGAAAGGGCTGCCGGTATTGGGAGGTGAGGGCCCGCTGATAATAATGGTAGGTGAGGGCCCGCTGATGGTGGTAGGTGAGGCCCAAGGTTGGAGGTGAGGGCGCGTGGGTTTTGGGGGGTGAGGGTCCGAGGGTGTTAGGGGTGAGGCCCATGGATGTTGGGAGGTGAGGCTGGGGTGGTGTTGGGAGGTGAGCACCCGTGGGTGTTGGGAGGTGAGGGCCCATGGGTGTTGGAGGTGAGGGCATGCATGTTGGGAGGCGAGGGCCCATGGGTGTTGGGAGGTGAGCCGGTGGGTTGGGAGGTGAGCACCCGTGGGTGTTGGGAGGTGAGGCACGCAGGCGTTGGGAGGTGAGGGCCCATGGATGTTGGGAGGTGAGGGCCAGTGGGTGTTGGGAGGTGAGCACCCGTGGGTGTTGGGATGAGGCCCATGGTGTTGGGAGGTGAGGCCCAAGGAGTGTTGGGAGGTGAGGGCCCAGTGGGTGTTGGGAGAGGACCCCATGAGTGTTGGGAGGTGAGGGCACGCAGGCGTTGGGAGGTGAGGCCCATGGGTGTTGGGGGTGAGGGCCCATGAGTGTTGGGAGGTGAGGGCACGGGTGTTGGGAGGCGAGGGCCCGGGTTGGGAGGTGAGACCATGGGTGTTGGGAGGTGAGGGCACGCAGGCGTTGGGAGGCGAGGGCCCATGGGTGTTGGGGAGAGGACCATGGGTGTTGGGAGGTGAGGGCACGGCAGCAGGCGAGCCCAAGGGCGTTGGAGGTGAGGGGCTGCAGTAGGGAGAGGAGAGGGCCTGCGGGTGTTGGGGATGAGGCCTGTGGGTGTTGGGGGTGAGGGCCCGCGGGTGTTGGAGGAGGGGCCTGCGGGGTGTTGGTGAGAGCCTGGGTGTTGGGGGTGAGGCCTGCGGTGCAGGTGGAGGGCCATGGGTGTTGGGTGGTGAGGGGCTCACAGGTGTTAGGGGTGAGGGCCCGCGGGTGGGGGGTGAGGCCTGCTGCAGGAGGGCCAGGTGTTGGGGGGTAAGGCCACGGTTGTTGGGGTGAGGCCACGGGTGATGAGGAGGGTCAGCGGGTGTTGAGAGGTGAGGTCCGCAGGTGTTTGATGTGAGGGTCCGCGAGTGTTGGGTGAGGGTCGGTGCCGGGGTGAGGCTGCGGGGGTGTTGAGAGGTGAGGGCCTGTGGTGCTGGGGTGAGGGTCCGCGGGTGTTGGGAGGTGAGGGCCTGCGGGTATAGGGGAAGTGAGGGCCCGCTGTTGAGGGGTGAGGGCCTGCTGTTGTTGTGGTTAGGGCCCGCCGTTGGTTGAGGTGAGGTCCGCCGGAGGGAGGGGCCTGCTGTTAGGAGGTTAGGGCCCGCCGTTGTGAGGTGAGGCCCGGGATTGTTAGGTTAGGGTCCGCTGTTGAGGTTAGGGCCCGCGGATGTTGAGGTGAGGCCCGTGGTTGTTGAGGTTAGGACCCCGGTTGTTGAGGTAGGGCCTGGTTGTTGAGGTGAGGGCCGCGATGTTGGAGATAGGCCGGTTGGAGGTGGCCTCCTGTTGCTGGAGGTGAGGGCCCGCTGTTGTTGAGGTGAGGGCCTGCAGTTGTTGAGGTGAGGACCTGATTTGTTGAGGTGAGGGCCTGCCGTTGTTGAGGTGGAGGCCCGGCGTTGTTGAGGTGAGGGCCCGGCGTTGCTAAGGTGAGGGCCCGCCGCTGCTGGAGGTGAGGGCCCGCATTTGTTGGAGGTGAGGGCCCGCATTTGTTTAGGGGAGGCCCCGTTGTTGAGGTGAGGGCCCGCTGTTGTTGCAGGAGGGCCGGCGTTGTTGAGGTAGGGCCCGTTGTTGAGGTGAGGGCCCGCGGTTGGAGTGAGGCCCGCCGTTGTTGAGGTGAGGGCCCGCGATGTTGAGGTTAGCCTGTTGGAGGTGGAGGCCCGGCGTTGTTGAGGTGAGGCCCGCGGTTGTGGAGGAGGCCCGCGTTGTTGAGGTGGGGCCGCGTTGGAGGAGGGCCTGCGGTTGTTGAGGGAGGCCCGTGGTTGTTGGAGGAGGCCTCGGGTGTTGAGGTGAGGGCCCGCGTTGTTGAGGTGAGGGCCTGCGGTTGTGGAGGGAGGGCCCGCCGTTGTTGAGGTGAGGGCCCGTGGTTGTTGAGGTGAGGGCCGCTGCTGAGTGAGGGCGTTGTTGGTGAGGGCCCGGCGTTGTTGAGGTGAGGCCCGGCGTTGTTGAGGTGAGGCCCGGCGTTGTTGAGGTGAGGGCCCATGTTGTTGAGGTGAGGGCCCGGCGTTGTTGAGGTGAGGCCGGCGTTGTGGGGAGGCCGGCGTTGTTGAGGTGAGGCCGCGTTGTTGAGGTGAGGGCCCGCCGTTGTTGAAGTGAGGACCTGGTGTTATGCGTGTCACTGGGAATAAAAGCTGTAATAATAAAACTGTAACTGTCATCAGAAGGGAATGTACAGACTATAACTCGGGATGAGCCGACATCCTTGACCCTCACTCTGATTCTCTCTCTCTCTCTCCCCTCACTTGAACTCATACTTCTGCGTCCCCTCAGATGCTCCAACCCCCGCTCTCTAATTGACCATGATGTTTAACCTCTAACCTTAATTTAATGACAACTTGTTGATGAATCTCTGGCATCTAACCATTAAGTGAACCCATTGATTGACTTCCTTTGACCCTTGACTGCTATATGAGTTATGGCCATCAGTAACAAGCGGTGACCTTGTTCTTGAGTGCTCCCTTACACCTGTTTTGACCTTATTGACTGAGTTTCTTTCACTTTTCTGAATTTCTCTTTATTTTCGTGTAACAAAGTTGTCTGTGTTGACGCTTCATGACCCTAACTTGACCCCACTGTAAGCTAATCTTTGACCCCTTATTTGACTCCAAAATGTCTAACCCATCATCATCAGTTGATCCGAAGATGTATATTATAAGTTAACGTGCCCCTTGAACATGTAACAGACAATATTATTTACTGCTGTCATTAAAAACAAATATTTAATGAGGAACAAATTAATGTGGGCACGTATTTAATTAATATACACAGGTGCATCAGGTAACAAGCTTCTGTAACCTAGAATACTAACATAAGAACTTACTACTATGGAAATATAAATAAGAATACTAACTGAACACCAGGCAATAGAAGGTGAAAATGGCCAGGGAGAAAGTACAGTACATAAATGAGGTCAGTATAATAGAATAGGTAGTATTTAATGTTACAGGAATCAGAACATGGTAGTCGTGTTGAGCTATGGGTCGTCTGAGGTGTGTGTTGTTTGATATAGTTCAGGTAGTGTTGATGTATTGTATGACGTTAGAAAGGTCATGTAGGTTGGATTGTTGCCTCATGTGACGCCAGGGAGGTAGGGATGATGTCTCTCCTCCATCAACATCAGTACACCAAGACATTGAAAAAATATTATCGTGCGTTTCTCGGATAACGAAAACTTTAAATATCTGTGTTTTACTTTTATCGGCGATTAACAGAAGTAAAAAAAGGTTCACTTCAATAAGTTAGATTGAATGATGTTTGCAGTAAGGTTTTTTTTTTAATTTCGAAATATTTACCATGATGATTATAATTCATATGACTACATCATCAGGTAGTTTCAGCTTCTGGTTTCTTCTGCACACACACACACACACACACACGCGCGCGCGCGCACATACACTCGGGTCACTTGGGGCATCCACGCCAGAGCTGAGGACTATCTACAACGCATATATACTCCCAAAATTAACGTATGCGTCACCAGTCTTCTCTCAACTCTACCCAACAACGTCAGCTAGAGAAGGTACAGAAGAGGGCTTGCAGAATCATGCTCGGCTCAAACTACTCCGGCTACAACAACGCTCTCTCCACCCTGGAAATGCCATCCCTCAGTGACCTCCAACACCACGCACTAGCAGGGTTTGGCAGTGGATTACCGCACCATCCTCGTCATCGCCACCTACTGCCACCTGCAGTCCCCTCCCACCTCGCCCAGTCCGCCACTACAACAAAATTCAGCCCACAAGAGCCTGCACTGATAGATATAAGAACAGCACCATCCCATCTATTGTTAAAATAATAAACAACTCCTGATTTATGTACTGTACAGCCCTGTAAATGTATTGAACGTATATTATTATGTCTAAATCACATGTAAGTTTGTATATTTTCAGCCACCGGTTGCAACTCTATCAATAAACCGTTTATTATTATTATTATTACAACCATGGTTGTGGTCGCTGTGTTATGACCAGCCCACCCTCACCCTCTTCACTCCAGACTGGTAAAAACTGATGTACTTACACGAAACTCCTCAACATACACCTCAGAGTGACCCTCACCACGCTCCTGTGATCTAAACAAGAAAAAAATATATATTTTTTACTCCTATTTACTCTTCAATATATATTGGGGGTGTAATTTTCTTTCTCTCCTTTTGTTCACATATAAATAAATATATATACAATATATATATATATATATATATATATATATATATATATATATATATATATATATATATATATATATATATATATGTGTGTGTGTGTGTGTGTGTGTGTGTGTGTGTGTGTGCTCATTTAATCCTGTACATTGCTTTTTACGTATTTTCAAATATATAAATCATACATTCACTCAACTAAACTCACATCAGTTCTTTTACCTTCAGCCGGTGTTCACAGAGAGAAATATGTGACAATAGAACTGTTATAATCTTCATAAGGAAGATCCATAGACCAAGCGTCTGTGATGGCCAGGTGGTGGTAGGTATAGCCGTGAGGAGCGGGTTATATGCACTGTACATACCTGGTGGTGTGCTCATGACCCATCCATTACCATAATATCCAGAGCGCCGCTATAATGGCGCCTTCTCCTCCATCATGGGATAACAATAACACCAGTAAATAATTTGCTCAGTATAAACAATAAACAATACAGTAGTGACCTCGTGGAAGTTTGTCTCGACTCTTCCTCACCCTCAGTCTTACTTGGTCACATTCACCTCTACTTAACCTGACCAAGTTTTGTGCAATTTAATTTGAACTGCAGTTATCACCCATTGGCGAAGGAAAAAGAATGACAGACAGACAGACACACAGCGTTACCTTTTACATGTGAGTGAGTATGGCATCCTTCATTTCTTCTCATTTTCTATTTTTAAAGCTGTGTCCGATGGGCGTGATGGCCCGGCAAGGAAGTGTGTATGAGCACACTGGGTACTAAACACTCGACCGCCTTCACTTTCCCAACTGTAGTGCTCACTCTCAACTGGATCGACTATGGGTGGCTGTACCCACTCGGCCACCAGTTGTTCCCCTGTTTGGTCAACTCACCCAATCTCCACTGTTTTATTTAAGTGTCTCATTTACACACGATAAGTCCTCCATATTCTCTCACCTTTTATAATGTGAGGACATTTTCCGAATAATTTGTTCTTTTTAATGATGTGGATTAATTATAAAGACGAACAGGTTTCGATAATATAATTTTATAAAAAATATCTATTGTAAAAAAGTTTGAAGTCATCATTTAATAATATTTGGGAGTTATATATCCGAATCAGCGTGTGTGTGTGTGTGTGTGTGTGTGTGTGTGTGTGTTCACCAATATGCATGAATGCATAAATTCAACTTAGCTTTCTGTGTAAACGTGTACTTCAACATAAACACGAAGGCTACCATATGGTCCTAATTAAAAATACTTGTAAGAAACACTTACGGAACTAACCTCTACTTAGTCTATGTACAGGAGACGACTCGCCATGCATGGAGAACGCTCTTAAACAACGACCTCTGAAAGTAAACCCGTGACACATGGTAGAGCCGGGATGGACCAGTCACACCCCCGCCCACCAACACACCATATGTCTTGGCCAACACACGCCAAGTTTTATTGTGATTCATGGTACTGTAAACATATCATCATCATCATGATGGATCAATCCACTGATGGATGGACGTCTTCCCAACATTCTTTTACATTTTTTGTCTAACTTGCGGAATCAAAAACCCTTTTATTATCAACGAATTTTCAAAATTTCGGTAATACATATTTATTGCGCCCTCGGGATACTTTCTGGACAACTTATCAAATTACCAGAGTTTGGGGTTAAGGATACTGGTCGAGGATGACCCAACTCGGTCACTCTAATAATAATAATGATAATAATAATAATAATAATAATAATAATTAACGGTTTATTGAAAGAGCTTGGCAGCCAGAAGGCTGAAAATATACAGTTACATATTTGGGGAATGGGTTACGAATTACAAATAATATACAAGTAACATAAGTGACACAAATAAGATATATAATAACTAGATGCTCTGTGTGTGTGTGTGTGTGTGTGTGTGTGTGTGTGCTACCATTCTACCAGAGTATTTAATCCTCCGAAATAGCATTGTGCTTTGACTACAATACCGAATCCATTTTTATTTCTTACCTTCCAGAGAGACTAGAATACTTTGATATTGCCTCATCCTCTGAGGAATCAGCAAGAAATTTTCTCTAACATAGAGAGAAAGAGAGAGAGGTATTTGAAATGTAATGTAAGGATAGAGGCGCTATTGGGGACTTGATCGGGTTTTCCATTAAGCAAATTGGTGCCTCGTTGCTTCTTTTGTGGGGGAAAAGAAGAGAGAGAGAGAGAGAGAGAGAGAGAGAGAGAGAGAGAGTCGCTTGGCTAGGGCGTGAAAAGTGTGCTAGATGAGCTACGTTCCATTTAGTCGATGTACACTTGAGGTTATCTATGTCCCTCCTCCTCTGTAATTATGGCTCGCTTAAACGACCTAATACAAGATCTTGTAACATTCTGTCGTAATTATTATCAAAATGGTTCACGCGAAATTTGTATAAATAACCGAGCGGACGATAACCAGGGCGCAGGTGATGGGGAGTTAGGCGCTGGGTTTATGGTGGCTGGTCAGCTTTGTTCCTCCAGGCTAATGACCCACACCTTTATCCTTCCCCCTTCTTACCCATTTTCGCTTTGAGGTCCAGAAGATAATATTATCATTTTCTTTTTCACACTTCTATTTTGATTTGGTATCACTCCTTACAGAATTCAAACTATATTTAATATATAGGTAAACACAATATTTTTTTTTATAATTCCTTTTTCATAGGGAATTTTCATAGACATGTATCACTGCTAGAGGTGATTTACCGGTGATAACTCTCATAGTAAAGTGAGTGTTGTTCCTGAGCAGCAGCAAGAGACGTGTCCGGGTGTGACTACTATCTTACGTTTAGGAAGTCTTGATCCACATACCTAAAAAAGAAAACAATATTTAAACAATAAAACAAAAGATGAAGGATGTAAGAATTTACGTTAAGTTAATCTTATAACGAACTTACAGATGAATAACTATATATTTACCTGCACAAGTGTTCAAAAGCTGGGTATCAACCTTTTAGAGTCTTCATCCTCATAAGAACACAGTGACTACCTGAGGGAGCCTGTTATATACCACCACATATGTTGGCTAAAATATATTATATCATATTGTTATCTGAGTATAGTGGAGTGTAAAACATTCAGTGAACAAGTGAATAACCTTCTACATTCAGCGCCTCACTATATTACTACCTGCAAGAACCTATTAATGCAGTGACCATTTTTATTATTTACCTTAAAAACAAAAGAGAGAGAGAGAGAGAGAGAGAGTTCTGATCACATATTCCACCAACTGAGAGATAAAAAACTAACTAACAAACAAAGTCTTTGAACAAAAAACAACAAATGCAAAATATGAATAATGATAAACAAATGAGGAAGGAAAGAAAAACAGATAATTCACTAATGTATAAGAAAACTCGCGCTTTGCAGCCACCTTTTAGTTTTGCCCTTCCCTTCTTAAATGACTATCCTTTTGCGTGTCAGCGTTTGCTAATATATTTAATTTCTCATAACCAATTATAAAAAAAAAAGAAGAAAAAATCCTCCCCTAAAAATTGCTGTCATAAATCGCGCGACTATGATAGTGATTGTGAGGAAAGTGCGGCCCGGGAATCGCCAGGATCAGTGCATAATTGGTCTGCCCTTGGCTAATGAGACAGCGCCGCCGTGATGAGCCAGCCCTTTTCTCCGCAAATTTGATCTCATTTTTATCGTGGCACTCTCCTCGCTTTATCTTAGCCGTTCCTTTGGCTCTTCCCCTGTTCGTATAATTACCGTGGTTCTGCCGCCGCCATTACGGAACTGGTGGTGCCAGGAGGAGGAGGAGGAAGAGTTCTCGATCGATGCTTAATGTTTTACCCAATTTTTTCTTCTTCTTTCTGCATTGTTGCTTGAAGCTGGTGCAGCCCCTGGTGTTTACTTTACTGCTTCTTGTTATCTATCTTAACTCATCCTTGGCGACCACCCTGTCCAGTAAGTGTGGATGACAACACTTATGTTGGCAGTCCTCGTTGTCTGACAAGGTGTTATAAGACACGAATAGGAAAATCTTAGTCAAACTTGGTATGTACAGTACAGTATATATTACCTATTAGTTTTACCTCCTCTAGAGAAGAGAAAGGAATATGTATATTTATATATTTATCGATTTATCTATCCGTTTATCTGTTCATTCACTCATCCATCCATCTGCTTATATATTTTACACACACACACACACACACACACACACACACACACACACACATAAATATATATATATATATATATATATATATATATATATATATATATATATATATATATATATATATATATATATATATATATATATATATATATATATATATATATATATATATATATATATATATATATATATATATATATATATGTGTGTGTGTGTGTGTGTGTGAGTGTGTGTGTGTGTGTGTGTATAAACATTAATAATAATATAGTGAAATAACACCCTTTTACGACTCGCCCACCCATTCACCACTCAGTCGCCCACCCAGCCCACCCAAACTACTTCTGCTTTACTATGATTACATACATCGGAATCCACACTAAATCTATGTTATCACACCCACACCACAACTAGTACACTACGCACTGTCAACGCTACCACAATTACTACCCACCCTACCACTACACCTATTGCTCTCCCCATTACAACACTGCTACCCTAACCACAACTACTACCTACCCTACCATAGTACTGTACTCCCATCTCCACTACACCTAATAACGAATCCACACTTAACACGATTTATAACCAACCTCATCACCAGTGACATATCTACCACAACTACCAACAATTCATACATCTATACTCCCACCTCCACCACAAATATTAACAACCCTCATTACCACACTACCACATCTACTGTACCACAATTACTAAAAAATTCTCACATCCACAACTCCCACACCTTTACCACTACTCTTACCTCCCCTGCGCACTGATGGACTAACACCCTCACCAAACTACCATACTGATGTCCTGTTCACAAGAAAACTATGTTCCCTTCTCATGATCAACAATTTGGGAAGATAATCCCTACCTTTCAGTCATCTACTAATTTATTTTAATCATTGCATTTCCAATATCTTCCATTTTATATACATGCCAGTCCAAACGATGTAAGTTTAATTTGAATCTGATTAAAGCCAAACTCTACTTGTGCTTACTACTTACCACCATCTAACTGTACCTCCCATTCCTTACATCTACCACCCCACACCCTCCCCCTAGCTGACCTCGTCTTGTATAGGAGCATGACGCCCCTATTTACCCCTTCCTCCTTCATGTCTACTCCACTCACCCTTCTTCATTCTTCCAAACTTGCATCTCTTCTTCCTGTGGTCCATTAGTCCACCCCCCACCACCCGTTTCTCTTTTCTTTTCATGTTGTGCTGCCGCACTACAAAACCACTGTGTCTTATATTATTATTATTATTATTATTATTATTATTATTATTATTATTCATCTTTTTATTCAACTAATCACTCCTTTGTGTTCCCTCTCCTCTCTGTCTCTCTCCCCCACGTCCTCAATTCTTAGACTCGGTCACTCTCTCCTCTCCTCCCTCCAACTCTCCCCTCCCCTCCCCTCCCCTCTCCTCCCCTTGGCACTAATATGCTTCACCCTTTGACACGATCACAGCCAAATAACCCATCGCACCGAACGGAAGCATCACGAAAGGGTCAAGGCACATTTTCTCTTTTAATTTGCCAGGTTTTCTTATCCCGCGAGCTGGAGCGTGTGGCGGACCTCCTGTTTTTCATGTAATCCCTTGTTTTACCCCCAATTACCACATCGGAGCGAGGACTGTGTGGCTGATAGTTTGGGAGTCTTGTCCACCGCTTGAAGGATTATCATGGGGGTTTTTACTTACGTCCTGTCCTGGTGAAGGATGAGGGATTGTGTGAGATGTGTGGTGGAGGGAGGGAGAGGGAGGGAGGGAGAGTGAGGGAGAGGGAGGGAGAGGGAGGGAGGGAGAGTGTTGTGTGTTGGTGGTGTTTGTTCTTGTGTGTTTGATATCATTCTTTCATATATATATTAACCTTAGCAACACAACGTCTATCTAACTATATGACCTGCGAACTATACTGTACACCACACAGGTAATTAATAAATATGTCAACCAAACAGTGATAAGACGACCAGAAAACCCGTAACATGTTGACGCGACTACCACACAACCTCATATCACCAAAACACACTTCAGAAGTTCTTTTTTTATCCTCAACTACATAACTATTTACACACCACCTAACCACTCAGTCATCCCTCAGTCACTGTCTCTAATCATGTAAGATAGCAAACCACACAACCACACAACCATACACTGCCATCCATCATCCATGAAAGCACCCATTCGAAATCCCCAACCACACCATTCATGGGGCCCTATTGTATCAGCAACCACACAACCACACAGCAATCACGGCTCCAGCGACCCCTCTCCCTCGCTCTCCTTCTCTTCAGCGTCCAAGCTATCATAAAATCACAACCTCAAGTCACCTCACAGCTCAAGATCCCGCTTAACACACGGGAAAAAAATCAGATATTGACAGATGATGATGGCTCCCCGCCGACCCAAGATAGCAAAAGTCAAACACGCTATTATTATTTCAATCTTAATGTGTTCGTGTGGAGAAAAAGGTCATCAATCATAGAATTACTTGACCCGTGCCGCTTTTTTTTCCGACAGTTGTGTTATATAAGATGAGCTTTTCTTGTACCGTACCCAGGGGTCGGGTGAGGCTCACAGGGGGAGTGTGGATTAAGAAATATTTGCCTTTGGAGATGATATGTAGCGTGAAATGATATTAGGCGCTTGTAACACGATACAATGCAGTACAGATTCAAAATTATATGATATAAAAAATTTCTCTAAGTTGGTGTTTCTAGATATATTGATGAGTAAGAATGACGATCACTTAGCATCTGTGTTTATTACTCACTAACATTCACCGGTTAGTCTTGAATTACCTAAACTTTACCTCCGAGTTATGTATGATGAATATGATCGAGATTAATTAATCGAGCGTACACCTGTGCTTCACTTTTCACCTGTTTCACCAAGAGATTAATGATCTGTTCAACTATTATAATATAAAACGCCAACCAAAGTATATCTTTTTAATTTCTTAATAAATTTCTTGATAATGTATTTATAAATAAATCTATAATCCACATTGTTTCTGAGGACCTGAAGTATACAAGATTAACCTTACCTGGAACACCTGCGCATTAGTAAGCATAAACAGTTTAAACATGACTATAACAAATATTTTACGTCATTAAATTTCTAATACTATTTCGTAACTACTTCTCTGTACACCTGAGAAATATGGTAGATCTTCCTTATGTAGTTACGACAGATGTAGTGTATCTTTCAACTGCTGGGTGTGGATAATGTTTGATGTGGGGACAGTACTTAACGTAGGACGATCTGTTCTCACACAGGGCCAAAAGTTTCTGGCCTCTAAAACCTACAGACCAGAACTTGTCGACTTTGGGTCATTCTGGGAAGAGGAAGCCGAGTCTTGACAACACTACGGCCGCAGCACAACAGTAACGAGTCATATGGTCGTTTCAACATCTTCAGGAATGTAAATAATACGCTTATCATGATTTATATTTATGTGAGGTCATATCACGCTTGTGTAATTTTGGGTTAACACGCCTCTATAACTTTACGAGTGAGTTTCTTTCTTTATATCAAATTGTCCTTCTTTTATACTTTACTGTTTCAGAACCATTTTATTTTATTAACTTCTTCTATTTTTTAGTTTACACACCGACTACCTGTAGCTCATGTTTGATCTGTGTAGGTTACAATCGGCTTATATTTTAATCTGA